GGTTCACAGTCAGAGGCAGAATTTTTAGAGCCCCTCCCTGAGTAGTTAATAAAATGTGTGTATTTAAAAATTGGTAAAGCCATGAAAGATATGAGCAGTGCTATCAACCAACTGGATCTAACCGATTTATAGAATACCACATCCACCCACGGAAGGGTGCACATTCATTTCAAGGACATATGGCACATTCCCCAAGTAGACCACATGCTCTGCCACAGCATCAAAGGACTGAAGCGACACCAAGTTCATCTGACCAAATGCTATGAATTAGAAATCCGTCTGATATCAGATGCCCAGGAAATCCTCAAGTATTTGGAAATGAATTGACATACTTCTAAATAACTCATAGATCAAAGAAATCACTTAGGAAAATCAGAAAATATTTTTAACTGAATGATAATGACAAGACATATCAAAATTTGCGATGCCACCGAAACAGTGCTTGGAGGGAAATTTATACCTTTAAATGCGAGCTCAGAAAAAAATTAAAACTTCAAATCAGCGCTCAAAGCTTCTACTTTAAGAAGCTGGGAAAAGAGGAGGAAACTAAGGGCAGGAAAAGAAGGGAAATAAGGGTGGAAATCAGTAAACTGGAAAGTGGGTCATCAAGGCAAGAATCAACAAAACCTAAACTTCATTTTTTGAAAAGATCAATAAAAACTTCTAGACTTGATCAATGGAAGAAAAGACACAAATCGCTAATCAGAAATGAACGAGGAGAGTCTGTGGCCACGCCAACCTGAACGAGCCCGATCCCGTCTGATCTCGGAAGCTAAGCAGGGTCGGGCCTGGTTGGTCCTTGGATGGGAGACCACCTAGGAAGACCAGGTCCTGTAGACGTTAAAAACAAAAAGAAATGAATGAGGAGACATCACTATGGATCCCACAGACAGTGAAGGATAACGAGCGTATTACTTACAACTTTATGCCAACAAGTTCAAGAACTTACACGAAGTAGACATGTTCCTTGAAAGACAGGACACAAAAAGAAATGAATGAGGAGACATCACTATGGATTCCACAGACAGTGAAGGATAACAAGGGTGCATTACTTACAACTTTATGCCAACAAGTTCAAAAACTTACACGAAGTAGACATGTTCCTTGAAAGACGTGATCTGATAAAACTGATCCAAGAGGAAGTAGAAAACTTTAATATCCTTATATCAATTTAAAAAAGAAATTTTTAGCGAAAACCTTTTACTCGAGGAAAGCATCAGGGTCTAGCGGCTTTATCGGTGACCTCTATCCAACAGGGAAGGAATGATACCCACTGTCCACGAGCCCTTTCAGAAAAACGAGGAGAAAACACTCGTCAACTTGTTTTAAGGGAACGTGACTTTGATCCCCAAAACCTTACAAAGACATTGTAAGAAAAAGAAACGAGAGACACGTCTCCCTGATGAAAATAGACAAAAAATTCTTTCAAAGCGTATTAGCAAGTCGACTTTTACTCTGACCCATGCAGGGTTAATTGCCAGAGGAATCGCTTTCCTGATGTAAAGACCTGGAAACTGGACCGAGTGTGCGAAACAGCTGCTCTCGGGTTGGACAGCGGGTGTGACACGGAAGAGGACTGAGCAGCCGACCTTTACCTTTGCTCCCAGTCCGCGAGAGGCAGTTTCCGGGCTGCAGCTCGCGGGGAGGACCCTAAGCTCAACCCGGCGGTCTTGCTGCGTGGATCCTGGCAGAAGGCGTGGGCCAGAGTGCAGGAGAGGTGACGCCGGAGGTAGAGCCCACGGGGACGTCTGCAGAGGCACATGAGCGCCGTGCACAAGGGGGACCCTCAGTGTCGTCATGGCGATGGCTTCCCCACCCGGGGACTCACCCATGTGCATAGCCCCGCCTGCCTTTGTGAACGCCCCTGTGGAATAGGTGTCTTCAAGTGACGTTACTACTCAGACATCACACACCTTTGACATTTGATCCACGAAAACTTTATATCAAAATACACTCTTACCAAACTTTTAAGAGTGGCAGCTAAAAGTCTCACCCATATTGGGTGTTATTCATTTAAAATTTTATCTAATTTGTGACAGATTTCTTGCTTTAATTTGTAGTTCTTTGATCACCATCGAGGTTACGTGTCTATTTTTGTATGTTTATTAGCCATTTCTATATCCTTCAATGTGAATTTCCATTTTCCTGCAAATTGATTTCTTTTGCTTTTGTATGTGCCCTTTCTACATTAGTAATATAGAAATATAATTTTTAAAAAAATTATATGTTGCATGTATCTTTCAAGTTTGTCATAATAGTGTCTTTCATTTATGGTCATTTCAGACTTTTATATAGCAAATTGTGAATCTTCTCATTTATAATTTTTGAGTTCATGTCCTGCTTTGAAGTCCTTCCCTCTTCTGAAAATAGCAAAACATTCTCCTGTATTTCCCTGTAGTATTTTTTTATCTTTCTATTACACGCGCGCGTGCACACACGCACGTGTGCTCACGCGCGCACGCGCACAGACGTGCGCACACACACACATGCACACACACACACATGCACGGGGGAGAGGGGAGAGGAAGGGGGTCATCGCTCTTTCTCCGTCCCCGTCCTGGCCACCGTCACCTCCACGGTGGGCTTCGTGAGTAGCGCGTGGAAGGGTCTCCCTGTGACCAGCCTAGCCCCTCTGGGCTACTCCCACACGTGTCAGGGCTTCGCACCAGCCGTCCTCTGGGCTGAAGGGGCCCCCTTCGCCCTCGGCGGCGGGACCTGTCACCCCCTCGCGGCAGGCGTCACGGCGAGGTCACACTCCCCGAGCAGTTTCGCCGCGTTCTTTACGTCTTCCTCTGCGCGCGTAGTGCAGCTGTCGTGTCACACTTGCGTACCCCCGGGTCGGAGGGGAGCTCTCTGAGCACGGGGCGGGCTGTTCCCTTTCGTGCCCCACCCCCGCCGCCAGCGCGTGCCGGGCCCACAGGAAGTGCACCCACGACATTCTCTATTTATTTATATTTTGCCCGTAGAGAAAAGCTGTTGATTTCTGAATGTTCTTGTGTCTGGCCCTCTTGCCGAATCGGAACCCTGGTCCCTGCCGTCCCCTGGTCCTGCTGCCTCCTTGGGCCGCTGCACCTTCGGCTGGTCAGGCACCGGGCGGCGGCAGCAGGCCCCGGCCTCCATCTGCCCACAGAGGGTCGCCTTCCAGAGCTTCCCCAGGGGCGAGGAGGTCTTTCTCAGAAGCCCCCAGCCCGCTGGCTCTCTCTGCTCAGTGGCTCCGACAGGGTCCCAGGCCCGTTGCCTGATCAGCCACTGCTGAGGGCGGGGCTTAGCTCTATACCCGCCAGGAGGCCCCAGGCTGACCCTGGGGAGGGGGCCCAGCCCCAGAAAGGTGGCAGGGGCGAGGGCCCTGGGCACGTGTCCGCACGGGCCAGCTGTCAGCGTGGCCCGTGGCGTCCCCATCGCCCGCTTCCGCTCCTCGGCAGCGTTCCGGGACTTCGCCCTCTCCCCGAGGGAATCCTGCTGTGTGCGCTCGCTCGTCTCCGAATGGCTGCTTCCGTTTCCGTCTGCCAGCGTTTCATTTTGGACCTTTTCGTCCGTGTTACAAAAACCTAGTTAATAATGGACGTCAAAGGAGTGGAGAGACCCTGGGATGGGAAGGCGCTCAGTCCCTGTGCCACCTGGTCAAGCGCCCTGCCCGCTCTGAGCCGCTTCCTCGTTCACACAGTAGGACCACAGCCCTCATTAAGTCACGCAGTTCTGAGGACTAAACAGGATACGTATGAAAGCCCCATTGAAACAGGCGAGCCTGCACAGAGTCAGAGCTTCATCTCCTCCTGTGCGTCCGAGACACCGTTTTTGCGAGTTTCTTCCTTGAGGAGGTGGGGTCCGCGCGCGTTTGCGACGGGCCTTTCTCTGATGGTTTCTTCGCAAACCATCAGCAGGAGACCCGGCTCTCGCAGTAGGAGCGGTGCTGGGCACGTGGTCGGCGAACGTCACTTTGTGTTCCCGCTTTTCATAGTGTCCTCAGGGAACTGGGGAGGATTTGATTTTTTCTGAGATTTCTGTAAAATGCGAGTTGTTGCTGGAACTGTTGCCCAGTTCTTCTTATTTTACTTAGACTTTAGTAATTGGGAAAAGATTAGCTGGCAGGACTTTGTGTTTTGCTGATTATGCTACCAAAGTTTCCTCTTTCATCCTTTCTTTTATTCCTAGTATTAATCATTAGCTTCGAGATGTTAGCAGAACCCGATGGTGGAGTCTTAAAGAAAAGAAATAATATTTCTGAGTGTTGCCGTACCTACAAATCGAAATGTAGTTTCTAGCCACTCGGAGCATGTGGATGGGACGCTCCGGGAGAGAGGATGCAGGGGCCCCGGTCCTTGTCCCTCTGTCCCCCTGTTGTGGTAGCATCCTGCCCTCGGGGTGCCGCGCCCCCTCGGTGACCCCCTCACCTTTAGGTCAGGGCAGCGGTGGCTTGTGTTGGTCCACCTCGAAGACTTCGTTGGCCTCCGTGTGTGTAATCACAGCCCTGGCCGGAGCTGCGACACACAGGCTTATCCCCGTGATTTCGTTTCGTTGGAAATCAGCCCTCGGAAAACCACCTCCCGTAGGTGTTCTTAAACGGTCAATGGAGAGAGCGAGAGCATGGAGGGAAGGGGGGAAGGAAGGGAAGGAAGCCTCACTAAGGTGTCGAGCTGGGGAAGAGCATTTGGGAGAGAGAGACGGGGAAGGCACGGGCGGGAGGAAGGGGCCGTGGGAGGCCACCAGCACCCTCGGGTCCTCGCCCACCCCCGGGTGGTGCCGGGGACACTTGGGATACATTTAGCAAATCTGTCCTCTGCAAGATTTTCGTGTAAACAGGTGACATTGGCGTCGTTTGAACAGAGCTGCGATTTCTCTTGGATGCTGAGGACGATTAGTGTCTGCAGTCTTATCACCCAGGTTTATTCCAGAGCGCTACCTGCTCGCTGCCCCGATAACGCTGACGGGAGGCGATGAGGCGCTGGGCACGCTGGCCGGCTGTGTGTAAACCCTGTCTCCCCTCTCTTTTTTGCCGACAGAGGAGTTACGGAAGTTGAGCTGGTCCGGAATCCCAAAGGCGGTCCGTCCGATTACGTGGAAGCTGCTCTCAGTAAGTCTCGCCGCGTGGGCCCGCTCGTCGGCACGCTTCCTCCTGTGAGGACGGGTCCCCTCGTCCGGCCCCGGTGCAACCTGTCGGCCGCCGCCCAGACACGTGACGCCGGCCTCTGCCCGGGCTGACGTGACATTTCCCGCCCTTTGCTTAATTGCGAGCTTGGTCTGACAAGGCCGGCAGGAAATGACGATGGGCAGCCATCTATGACAGCTTGTTCTTTTGCTCGATTTCATTTTTAAACCAAATCTTTGTAACATTTTCAAACCTGAGATACAGAAAGGTTCCAGCATAGAAGATTATTTGAAGTCTGAGGAATCAGTGATGGAGATGTGTTTGACCATTTAAAAAAAAATACATTAGTAATGACAGAAGAAAAAACTGACGTCAAAAGCTGTTTGTGTCTCTGATGGAAGGTGGGGTTCTGCTCTCCCCCTCCCCCCAGTGAACTGCCCCCCAGCTGCCCTCCTGGAGCCCGGCCGGAGGAGGTGGCGGGCGCTGGGCAGCAGTGCATCGCCTGTGCTTGGCCGGGAGTCTCAGGATAAATGGGGCTCCACCCTGGGCGTGAGCCTGGCCCCCCGAGAGTCTCAGGGTCGTTCATGGACAGCTTTCTTCTCTTTTGCTTTTTTAATTATTTTTGGACCCAAGCCAATAGAGAACTCTAAGTGTGTGCTCTAAATTGGGTCCGACTTTCAGTATTTAAAAGACTCTTTCTCACTAATGAGTCTTAATAAATGTGCAGCTTAGCACCCGCGATCCTAAACGCAGATGCAGCTCCAAACAGCGAATGTTTATTGATTAAATAGTCTCCGGCAATTAAAATTAGACCTGCCGGAGATGCGTATTTTTTGTTTGGCTTTTTGAGTGTTTGTGTGCGGTTCTCCAGATGTCCTCTGAGACGGGCTGTGAGCTGCTCAGGTGGACTCGCGGAAGGTTCGAGGACGATGCCCCCAGCGCCCTAGGCGGCCCTGCTGTGGTGGGGGACGGGGGCGTCTGGGTGGCGGCCCTGCCGTGGTGGGGGACGGGGGCGTCTGGGTGGCGGTCCCACGTGAGTGGCTTCGTCTTGTTCCTCTCCTTCAGTCCCCAGTCTGTGTGGGTCATAGTTTAGGTCCTCTCTGCGTGCTGCCCAGTGACCGACTTGGAAAATCGGCCGCCTGGGACTCAGTGGACAGAGGCGCAGAAGCGGAAGATGCCAGAGGCACCCCTCTGTTGGTCCCGTGGGAGCGGGTGGCGGTGGGCAGAGCCCGTGACCACGAGTGCTGGGAAGGCCCGTGCAGGACGGTCCGGGCTCGTGTGCTCATGTGCCCTCACCGGCGGCAGGGGCCATCGGCCTACACGCAGGAGAGTTAGACA